GACGGAGCTGCAGCCGCGGAGCCCTGCTCCGAGCACAGGATGCTCCTGCTCCGGACGGAGCTGCAGCCGCGGAGCCCTGCTCCGAGCCCGGGCGCCTGCTCTTTAACGGAGCTGCCGTGTGGAGGAGCCGGCACCGTTCCGCTCCGCCCGGGAGCACGGGAGCCCTCGGGTGTGTTTACCTACAAGGGAGCTTGCAGGTTGATCCCGGGCGGCTTTGCTGTCTTCGGCTCCTGGGCTAGCAAAGCTTTCCGTTCTTCCCTTGTATCTGTCCCTTTGTATCTGCCTGAGAATGACAAATTTGAGCAATTTACCCCTGTTTTGGGGCGTGTAACAGCGGGGTTTGTAAAAGCAGCAGCCTCTTGGCTGGCTGAAGCAGCGCGGTCACTGGTAGCGTGTCCGGAGCGCGGGGAGCCGGGGCAGGCGAGCGCGGTGAGCCCCGCTCTGCTCCCAGGGCCACGCCACGTCGTTCTTCGGCGCCACGCTCGAGCGCTATTCCTCCTTCCAAGTGCACAGCAGCGACGACATCCGCCACATCCAGAGCCTGGAGAACGGCGTCCTTTTCCTGACCAAAACCAACCTGAAATACATGTCGAGAGGGGGGCTTATCATCTTTGACTACCTGTGAGTGTTTCGCCCTGGCTGCAGGTGGGTTACGCGGGCCCGGTGCTGGGGGAGAGGAGGCTCCCGGTCCCCTTTGCTAATGGTAGAGATGTTGGCGGCCCCTCTGCCTGCTGGGCGGAGGCTGAGGGGGGCCTTGGCCTCCCCCCTGAGCTGAGCGGGGTTATAGGCCTCCCCTTTCCCTCTCCTTCAGCATGGACGAGTCTGAGGACATGCACAGCCTGCTGCTCACGGACAACAACACTCTGCTCGTGGGCGGGCTGCAGAACCACGTGCTCGAGATAGACCTTGGCACCGTCCAGGAGACGCAGAAGGTAGAGCTGGGCCTGGCCTCGTCCCTGGCCCCGCTCCCAGGGCTGCATCCCGGGGAGCCCGCTCCACCGCCAGCGTGGCACGGCCAGGCCCGGCTCCGGGTGCCCCGCTCACCCTGCTGCTCCCCCCTTCCCAGTACACCGTGGAGGTCCCTGGCATCACCATCATGCGGCAGTCAAACCGCTTCTTCTTCTGCGGCCACTCCTCAGGGAAGGTACCGGCATCCCCGCAGCTCTGCTTCCCCCCGGGACACCCCGGAGTGGACAGGGACACCCCGGAGCTTCTTCCGAGGCTCCCAGCGCCCGCCTTGCCTCCGCAGGTCTCCTTGCGGGATCTGCGCACGTTCGTGGCGGAGCACGAGTTCGACGCCTACTCGGGCAGCCTCTCGGACTTCGACGTGCACGGCAACCTGCTGGTGACGTGCGGCTTCTCCAGCCGCATGAACGGCCTGGCCTGCGACCGCTTCCTGAAGGTGTACGACCTGCGCATGATGCGGGCCACCACGCCGCTGCAGGTCCACGTCGACCCCTTCTTCCTCCGCTTCATCCCCACCTACACCTCCCGCCTGGCCATCATCTCCCAGACAGGTGGGTGAAGCTGGGAGCCGGCCCGGCCACGCTCGGCCGCTCCGGAGAGAGGTGGGTGACGCTCACGGCGCCCTCCAGGCTCCGCGTCAAATCCCGGCGGGATGCGGGTGGCCCGGCGCTCTCCGTCTGGTTGAGCCGGCTCCAAACGGGCCGAATTGCCATGCTTGCTGGGGCTGCCGCTTTGTGCCGCCGGGTGCCAGCTCGCTCTGCCGCTGCCTCTTGCCCAGGGCAGTGCCAGTTCTGCGAGCCCACGGGCCTCGCCAACCCCGCCGACATCTTCCACGTGAACACGGTGGGGCCGCTCGTCATGACGTTCGACGTGTCGGCCAGCAAGCAGGCGCTGGCGTTCGGCGACTCCGAGGGCTGCGTGCACCTCTGGGCCGACTCCCCCGAGGTCACCTTCAACGCCTACTCCCGCGAGACCGACTTCGCCCTGCCCTGCAT